TGGTGACCACATGTGGCTCCTAAGCTGTCCCCCGTTAGGCTTGGCTGGAATGAAGCCAGAGGAAGCAGGGGATGGCACCAGGCCTGGGGGAGGGTCGCAGGCTCGGCTTGCCAGGAGGAAGGCGTGCTTTGGCTCCCTCTGCTTTATTCTTCTGCAGCTGCCACCACTCAAGGTTGATGGTGGAGAAGCCCGAATTTGCCACAGAGGCTGTCTTCTTGTTCCATGCTTATTGCTGAGTGCAGAGGCAGATCGCGGGAAACTCTCAGTTCTCAGCTCTGAGTGTGGGCCCAGGTGGTTGGCCCTGGGTTGTCAACACTGAGCACTTTCGCCTGAGAAACTAGAAGCTTCCCTGTGACCTCAGCTTAGTCCTCACCCAGCTATGTCTGGTGAGTCATCCAAATCTTAAGGAGAAAGTGGCTTGTTCTTCAGAACTGGGGTGTAAACTAGGTAGGGGACTAATTCTCATGAGTCCAACTTTGTCTTGGGGACCAACTTAACTCATAAACATATTTTTTAATGCACCTTCTGTTTTACCTGGCAAGCCAGACAAACACCTTTCTGAGTCTGTGTTTTGAATGACCCCAGATCTTTCTGGTCAGTCTTCAGGTCATTCGATCTTAATTCGTGTCCTCTGCAAGAAGCTGTTGCCCCGAGGGAGTTGTCCCATTGCTCAGAACGTCTCCTTTCTCTCAGGAAGGGCTCTCAAGAGCCTGCGTGGTCCTGGCCTCACACAGACTTCATCGGGCACTTTCGAGGAGCGAACCGAGGTCTCTAATGCTTCACTGGCGGGGTCTTCTTTAATCGCTATGATCGCTCTATAAAACGGGCTCTATGATCATCGTCATTTTACAGGTAGGGACAGTGAGATGCGTGTGTAGCGTGTAGTGGTGTCCTATTATTGTTTCAATCCCAAGCCTTGCTGCCTAAATCATCTCCAATGGTGGCTGTCCCAGGGGAGCCTGTGACCTTCCCCTCAGCTGTGACCTTCCTCTTCGGTGATAAAAAGAGGCAGGGCGATGGGGGGGGGGGCGTGTTGAGAACAGGCTCTTGCTTTTCAAGACAAATGTATAGAAGGAGAGAGCAAGAGGCTCCCCTCGTTCATGCAATAGTCGGCGAGCACCAGGGGTGTGTTGAGAACAGGCTGTTGCTTTTCAAGCCTAATGTATAGAAGGAGAGAGCAAGAGGCTCCCCTCATTCATGCAATAGTCGGCGAGCACCCACCGGAACGGTGCCTGGACCTAGTAGGTATTTCACTAGTTACGTTTGTTGAATGAATGAATGAATGAATGAAGTGAGGTGATAAGGATCTGACCTGGCCTCAATCCCATGCTTTCAATGAATGAGTGAGTGAGTGAGTGAATGAATGAATGAAGTGAGGCGATAAGGATCTGACCTGGCCTCAATCCCGTGCTTTCACTAGGAACAGCAAGCCTCAGTCCTAATTCCCCAAAAGTTCATGCTTGGAGCGTTCCACTGAACAGGGGTCGCATCTGTTGGGGACTCACGCTGACCTCCATTCTCAGGACACCTCCTGTCCTGGCCATGCTGAGCTGGCCCCAGTCACCGAGCTGCACTCACACAGGGGGAGACATGAGCTTGCTTGGGGGCTGGCAGCAGGTAGCAGGGGCTTGGCCGTGGGTGTCAGGTTCCTGAGTTCAAAGCTCTGAGGAAAGGTGACCAGCAGATGACCAGCCGGGATGGAGATGATGCGGGGCGACAGATGACACCCTTCCAGCAAGGAGGTGGGACAGAGGAGCTCAGAGGGAGCCCCAGGCCCCTTCCCCGTTGGGAGGGGAGCCTAAGAGAGCCAACAGAGCTGCATCCGGACCCTAACTCTAGGTGGAGACTTGAGTGCTCCTAGACTCGCAGGAGGCAGGACCCTGCAGCACAGACAGAAGCCAGCTCAGCCATGAGGGTCTGGAAAGCCTGAGGCAGGTGGGTCAAGGCCAGGTAGATGAGACAGCCGTGGAGAGAGACGTTTCAGAGGATAGGTAAGGAACGTGCTAGAAACTTATTCCTTTAGCCCCATTGATTAAGAAAACATCAATCAGGACATACGCAGCATCAAGAAGAAAGAGCCCTACGTCCCAGATCCTTCTCCCTGCCCCGGCCCCCGCCCAGCTTCCCTCCGCCCTGGGCGAACTTCCTCTGTGGTCAGGCACTTGCTCAGAAGTAAAGGCCGGAGAGGAGGAACTCGCGGGCGAGGAGAAGTGCTTTCTGAAGGAGTGACCGGCGTCTGCCCTCCCCACTTCTCTACGTCTACCAAATTTGAGCTCCCACACACGCCAAGTGCAGCACACGAGGACCGTCCTAGGGTATAGCACCCCGAGGGCTTCTGCACCAGGCGCCTTTACGGAGACGTACTTGCTGGGAAAAGCTGTTCCAGATCTGGAGGCTAATTTAGTTATTGTCTGTTTCTGTCCCTACGCCAGGCTGTGGGCATATGATGCAAGTTTGGTTTGACAGTTTTCATCGGAACCTAAAGGCTAGTTCCCAGAAGTGTGTGTGAGTGTGTGTGAGTGTGTGAGTGTGTGTGAGTGTGTGTGTGTGTGTGTGTGTGGTGAGGGGACTGATTAGGATGGATAGACAACAGATGCCGACTCCAGTGGATTCTCTTTGATGATGTTATAAGAGTGACAACCCCACTACAGTTCTCTGCAAAGAAATCGGGAGGAGGGGCGTGGTCATCGAATATCAACAGTAATAAACGGTGGGAAAAACATCGGTGTTCGGCTGGCAACTGCCAGTGGCCCCGAGCCCATTGGGCCAGCTGGTGACAGCTGGGCGCTGGCTTTGCCTCCCGCAGAGCTGCTGGGTCACCTGAGTCTGGCAGGCTATTCAGGAGGCTGGATCCAGGGTAATATTCCCCGAGGCGGCCTCTGAAGCCAGTGGACTGTGGGCCTTGGTTCCCAACAAGGTGACTCGAAGGTCTTAGTCTGGCTCAAACTCTGTCCTTTCTGGACACTTTGGAATTTTCGGGCCTGTCACCGACCACAGTCCTAAACCGAGTGTAGAGTGGGAGAGACTTTGGCACTGGCTGAAGGGGAAAGAGAAGGGATTGTAGGGTCCCAGTGGGGAGGGAAGGCTCCAGCTGTCATGATGGCAGCTGGGAGATGTCCTCCTCCTTTACCCACCGCTGAGGCGTCTCCCGGTGGCCTCTTGAAGCCGAGAACCTCATCTATTAGGGCCGAGAACCTCACCTATTAGGACAAAGCGCAGGATGGACACATTCTCGCCGGCGTTCAAAGGGAAACATTCCGCATAGAACCAAGAGCTGGGGGCGTGGGGGGAAATGGGGAGACGTTGGCCAAAGGGCACGAACTTTCGGTTATGAATTCGGGGATCCAGCGTACAGCACGGCGACCGCCTTAGTACCGTGGTGTGTATCTGAAATGGGCCAAGGGGGTGAATCTTAAGCTTCTCACCACACCAAGAACAAAGACAGCGATGTAAAGTGACGGATGTGTTCGTGAACTTGGTCGCAGTTATTATTTCACCCTGTCTGTGTCCATCACATCGTCACGTTGTGCATCTTTAAATAAAAAATCACATTTGCACCATAAATCGATAGGATTTT